TAGGTACAACTGAATTACAAGGTTCGACTGACTGAATTGTACTGTTCAACTTGGTTTTTCTAGGTTCAACTCAGTTTTAACAGGATTAATAATTGACATAAATGACGATGTACAACTGAAATACAAGGTTCGATTGACTGAGTTGTACCGTTCAACTTGGTTTTTCTAGGTTCAACTCAGTTTTAACAGGATTAATAATTGACATATATGACGATGTACAACTGAAATACAAGGTTCGACTGACTGAGTTGTACCGTTCAACTTGGTTTTTCTAGGTTCAACTCAGTTTTCACAGGTTAAACATTAGACATAAATGACGATGTACAACTGAAATACAAGGTTCGACTGACTGAGTTGTACCGTTCAACTTGGTTTTTCTAGGTTCAACTCAGTTTTCACAGTTTAAACATTAGACATAAGTAACTAGGTACAACTGAATTACAAGGTTCGACTGACTGAGTTGTACCGTTCAACCTGGTTTTTCTAGGTTCAACTCAGTTTCAACAGGATTAATAATTGACATAAATGACGATGTACAACTGAAATACGTAGTTCGACTGATTTAAAACTTGAAGACCTCTTCCAAAGTTTGAAAATTAGAGGATCTTCATCCGAAAGCAAATAACATCATCAAAGTCTTAAAATAAGAAAAACAATCTACTTACTTAAAAAAGATTATAATCAAACTAAGTAGAAGCACAAGTACTGCTACCCTAAATGTCATCTCCACACTGATTTTCTTCTTGTCCGTCTGAATAAGCATCTCCAGCTTTGCAATCAGCTCCTCGTTCTGAACCTGTCTTTGCTTCAGCTCTGCAATAGCTTTTTCAACGCGAATTCCAGTTGTGAAGTTGTTCTGGATTTTCTCCTTCAGACTAGTAATCTGATGATGTAGGAGTTCTATTTCTTCGTCTACCACAAAATCCCACCATTTCCGAATATGATACCATTCATTCTACACAAAAATACCCAAGAATTATCATAAATATTCTTCTATTTTTCCCAGAAATATGATCTAGTAATTATGCAATCTACTAAACTCACATCACGATTGCGACAGGTGAAGTATCGCCTCCCAGGATCGATTGAGGTGTAGGATGTCTCAGTGAAAACGGCTCCACCGCAGTAACACTTTTTGGGCATTCCATATTCACCATCTGCTATGAGGCATGGATCCAGCTCAGCTGACGATTCGGAACTGGTCACCAGACTGAATCTTCCCATTCTTCGAATTTCTGAAAGTAAAATTGAAACTGAACTGAAATCGAGCTAATTGGAAAGCAAATCGGAAATCGAATGGCAACACGTAAACGTTAATAGTTGTACCCAGTTGAACCTGAAAGTGCGAATTTAACAAAATGAACTTCAGAATTATTTATACTTGTACCTAGTTAAACCTGGTCATACAAATTCACCAAACTCAAACACAGAAAAATTCATAGTTGTACATAGTCTAACATGGTTGTTCAAAACCGAAAATTACAAAACACACACATAAATCAAACTGAGCTGCCACTTTGGCTGCTCTGAAAATAAAAAGCGAAACCTCTGCCAGACACAGACCTGTTACTTGTCTTCCTGCGACGTTCTCCAGTGGATGGAAAGCGGTTTTCTTGATTTCTTCCTGGCGTTTTGGTGTAATCAGGCGGTAAAGCAAACTTATTTAGTATTTCCTCTGGAATACTCCAACAAGACTCATTCGGCACTAGATAAATCGTCTTGTAGTATGCCAATGCCCACATATCAATCAAGTAATATCTAGAGCATAAGTCGTATAGACTAATATCCGCTGTTCTCCCTCCCTTCTTCATCAGTGCTGCGGCTGCAGCGATTGCATGAACACAAGGATACTTGTCTATATCCAACCCTCTGCAATAGCAAGTTTTGCTCGACAAATCCACCAAGTAAGCCTTCCCATCGAGTCCAATAACTATGTATTCGAGTTGGAAGCTGTTTAGCTCAGCCACAGCTAAACGAGCAGCAATTGGACATAGTTCATGCAATTTGTTATCCACATAAGGCACCACTTTCTTTGACATTGGCATATCAGCAGCAGTCTTCCTATACTTGTTAAACCAATATGCCATTTTCTCAACAATCGCATCAATCATTGGTAAGAGAGAGTACTTCTTTACTTCCTTAAACACACTGTTGAGAGATTCACAAGAATTGCTGGTGTCTAAATTGTACTTGTCTCCTTTAAAGTAGCACCTTGCCCACTTATCCAACAGTACAGTCTCATGCAAATACACAGCAGCTGCAGGAAACCTCTTCTTAAAATCAGCATACTCCCTTTCGAACTCACTCACAGTATAAATATGAGCGCATTGGATAAATTTTGCCGCCACTAGATCTTTGTTCACCTTATGCTGAACTTTACCTCTCACGTTTTGAGACAAATGCCATATACAATGTCCATGCTGGGAGTGGGGATACACCTTCGCTACTGCATTTATGATGCTTTTATGTCTGTCACTCATAAAAACCAATTCAGGATCATCAGGTATAACAATTTTCAGCTTCTCAAAAAACCACATCCAACTGTCATGCTTCTCAGTATCAATTACACCAAAAGCAATGGGGTAATGGTGATGATTAGGATCCTGAGCTGTGGCAAAGACAAGCTGTCCACCATATACAGTCTTCAGAAATGTTGCATCCACAACTATCACTTTCCTCATTGCTTGAAACCCTTCAATGCTAGCGCCCAAAGCAATGAATAGGTACTTGAACTTTTTCTCTGCATCCAATTTCACACTTGTTACGGTTCCAGGATTTACCTTCTCCAGCATGTACAAATAAGAGTATAACATCCTATAACCTTCTTCAGGAGTGCCCCGCACATCACTAACAGCTAGTTTTTTTCCTCTTAAGGCGGTAGAGTAGGAAAAACTAACACCAGCTCTACTCTGAACCAGATTCACGATATTTTTGGGAACTGGGGTGTCAAATTGACCTGGATAGTCTTGCTGCAAAACAGATGCTACTAGTCGTGGGGTGCCTCTCCTTCTACTAGTGCTTGTACTCTCAACGGCCCGAGAGCATGTATGCATCTTTATGTATACTCTAACACTGAAATAATCCGATTTCTTAAACCTTGCAGCTCGTAAATACCATTTACAGTCTTGATTCTTCTGACGGCATTCTAGAATAAGTCGCCTTGTATCTGACTTATAAGTATGGACCCCAAAACAGTTCTTATGTGCAGCTCTGTCAACCAAATCTTGCACTGCCTCCTTAGAACAAAATTCTTGACCAATTTCAAGACCTGTACCATCTTCCCATTCTTCAACACACTGACTAACTTCTGCAGAACCTGGAAGCTTAACATATTCATGCATACCATCGAAACCGTTCTCCATATCCCCATCAGTAAATTCATTACCATCGTTCTCTGTCACCTCCTCAATAATCGGCTCCCTACGTTCTTCTCTTTCCGAGACTGCTCTATAAATAGTAACCGCATTACAGACATCATCATCAGCTCTACCATTTGCAACCGGCTCCTCATAATTCACACCAAATGAACTACCCACTTTGGAAGCTTGCTCACTCCTACCCGCTTTAGAAACTGAATTTGTTTCTAAACCTTTGACTACCTCCACATGCAAAACAGATCTTATCCCCTCGTTATCCATCGTTGTTAGATAAGCATATACGTCATCATCAACGAAAATTTTTGTCTCGTTGATCGGTTTATTTACCAACGGAATGTAACTTAATTTCAGGTGTGCATTAGCTCTATCTATCCCAATCTTACTGCATATCTTATCTACTAACACCGAGTAAGTTATCTCTTCCACAGATAAGTTCCTAAATGGTATAGCATAGGTGAAATTACTTGTAAACCATTTCAACTCCCCTCCGTCACGTGAATAAATCCCTCTATAGTCAAAATATATGTTTGTGTGGTTGGTGCTCATGCTCTCCTGAAAATATAATGAAAATAGTCGATCAGTTGAACTCAATTGAACTCAATTGAACAAAAAGTACCACAGTTATACCAGTTGAACTCAATTGAACTACATTGAACTCAGTTGTACCAGTTAAACTATACCTCTCATTTGTACCACGTGTACCAGTTGAACTCAATTTAACTCAGTTGTACCAGTGCAGCTATACCTCATGTACCAGTTATACTAGTTGAAATCAGTTGAACTAAAGTGAACTCAGTTGTACCAGTTGAACAACACCTCTCATTTGTACTAGTTGAACTCAATTGAACTAAATTGAACTCAGTTGTACCAGTTGAACTATAGCTCTCATTTGTACCAGTTGAACTTAAGTTTTCAGTTATTCCAGTTCGCTCTCAGTTGTACCAGTTGTACCATTTTTTCCTATCAAAAATCTGGGAATTTCGAGCTCGACTTTCGTTGTTCTGCATTATGAATCTGATTAACATAACCACGTTCTTCTCACAAATTATAGAACCTATGGCTTAATCTATCCACAATACATTGTTACCAACCCAGATTCCTAATTTTCAAATCTAAAGCCCTAATTTTACACTCTAATTGAAATAGAAGAAATCACCTTCAAAATATGAGATCTTCAACAATGGCAGAAAGATGACTGGAATTCTGGGGCGGACGAAGTGGAGAAAGCGTCGATCTACGTTGGACGAAAAGGATGACGGAAGAAGAAGCTCAGAGAAGGAGCTTGGAAACCAAAAGAGAGTCCGGGTGAGAAGAGAGAGGAGGAGCTCGAGCTTAGCAAAGCTGCGGGGGAGGATCGAGATTCAATTTTTTTTTCAAATTTATTTTTATTTACTTTTACTTCTTTTACTTCTTTTACTTTTACTAATTTATTTTTACTTGGTTAATTTTAGTAACTTTGACTAAGAATTGATTTGTAATATCACATCTCATTTAAATGAGAGAATAGCATTAGATTATGGAATAGCAGCTTAGATCAATTTTTTTCCTAAAGTGGCATTTCAGCTCTTCTCTCGTAAAATAAGCGCACGGTAAGTTTTTTTTGTTTGTGCTCTCGAGAAAAACCAAAATTTAAGTGAAAGACAATCAGAGAACAATGTGGTCTGCTGCTAAAAATTATAAAGAAATTTAAAAGAAAAACAGAGAGAAAGAAAATGCGAAAAAGAGGAGACCTTTGTGGCTTTGTCTAATTGTCTCCACTGAAAAAAAAAAACGCGATAAACAAAAAAAAGCGGGGAAATTCAATTCACCGACTGAATCGAAACGCCGGTAAAACTCCGATGCAATCCACTCACGGCGGCGGAAGCGGCGGTGGCGCTGAAGGAGGAGGAGGAGAGGTGAGTCGAAGTGGGTTATCTCGGATCCGTTCAGCTCCGGCGACTTGGATTGAAACCCTACTCGAGGATGATGAAGAAGACGGCTTAAAACCTAACCTCTGTTTGACTGAGCTTCTCACCGGAAATTCGGCCGGGATGACGAGTCGTGACTCGTTCGAGTTCCCGAGTTCCGTTGAGCAGGGATTGTACAATCACCAAGGTGGGTTTCACCGTCAGAATAGCTCTCCGGCAGATTTTCTCAGTGGCTCTGGAGCTGGGACTGATGGGTTCTTCTCGAATTTTGGGATCCCGGCGAATTACGACTACTTGTCGCCCAACGTTGACATTTCTCCGGCGAGTAAACGGGCGAGAGAAATTGAAGCTCAGTTCTCTTCTCAGATGGTAAGCTTTCTTCAGAGAAATCTGTTTTATACTTCTAATTTATTATTGTTATCAATTTGTATGAAATTGTTGTCAAAATGCTGAGTTCAGGCTCTGACTTGAGATCAGTACACTTATTGTTTAATGGGTCTTTGAAATCTTCAGTCGTGAAGACAATAAAGATGTAAAAGAGTAGTCTTGTCTAATTTTGACAACTTGCATTTGTTTGAAACTAAACCCAGCAAGTTGCAGTTTTTTTTTTCTTTCTTTGTTTTTTTTTCCTGTGGCTGTGAAGTGAACGATACATAAAGCTTCTATTAGTGGTTGGCGAACAAAAACATCCCACTTTAGTCACTATACAAAGTCCATCTTTGATTTGGGTTAAGGGTTAACTACTATTGTTAACTATGTATCAAACCCCTTAGATGCAAATGGTTAAGTCATTGTGTACATATGAATACTTAACTCTTCCCCATTTCTTATGTGAGTAGAAAGAAGAGCAAATGAGTGGTGGTGTATCAGGAATGATGGATATGAACATGGATAAGCTTCTTGAGGACTCGGTTCCTTGTAGGGTTCGCGCTAAACGCGGTTGTGCAACTCATCCTCGTAGCATTGCCGAGCGGGTATTTACTTATTACTTTGACGTTTTGCAGTCATCACTTGTGTTGTTTCTGCATCGTTCTGAGATTATTTCCTCTATTCGTTTTGTTAGGTGAGGAGAACGCGTATAAGTGATCGGATCAGGAGGCTGCAAGAACTTGTTCCTAACATGGATAAGGTAAGATCTGTTTTACAGCGTAGATTGATTTCTAATTTTCTTGGAAGGTTTTGTAAGAACTACGAAATGGGTCCAAAATTATATATGCTTAAAGCTTAAGGTAAGAGTTAGTGTTTTTAGCAAGCTTAGCACTAAAGGAAAATGAATATTAACTCATGGTGGTTGTGAAGGCATTAATGAAACTTTAAAATTACGGTCTCGTCCATAAACTATGGTTGTGCAGCGTTTTATTGGGAGATTCTCTGTATAATATGTGATTAGTTGCCTTGTTATATATCCTGAGATCAAATATTTGAGGGATGGTTTCTGAAATGCTGAGAACGATGAAACTTGCGGGAGATTTATAACGCAGAGGTTTGTGTTTGATTATCTTCTTTGTTGCAGCAAACCAACACTGCAGATATGTTAGAAGAAGCTGTGGAGTATGTCAAGGCTCTTCAAAGCCAGATCCAGGTTTATACACGTATATGTAACATAGAAAACAAAAATTGATTAGTAACAGTCTTATAAAAAGATAGTATTTGCAATTTTTGTTTGAATATTGAATTGGAGGTTTTATGGATTCAGGAGTTGACAGAGCAGCAGAAGAGGTGCATATGCAAACCTAAGGAAGAACAATAAGGTTTCCTTTAGGATTGATATATATATATATATATATGTGTATTTTTTTTGTTTAATCTACAAATGGTGATGATCTGTTCGAAAAATTCGAAACATGATCCTATATTGAACTAGAAGAGATAGATTATTTGATGTATGAATTTTTAGCTGTAAAATTTTTGTACAATAAGGAGAAAAGCTTTAAAAGAATCAATAAAAAGAAGGTGTATGTTCTTTATGGAAGTGGGGAAGATAAAAGTCTGTACTGTTTATCATTCTATGCTCAAGGAGGATCATGTGTATTGGCATTCATCAAATATTGAAACTTGATAGGAAACAGTAAAACAAAAAGGAGTTGGTTTGGTTTGCTGAGAGAACTGACAAAAAAACCACTGAAAGAAAAATTTCTAAAGGAATAAAAGAATATTCGGTGAGAGCCTAAACAGTCTAAAGTTGTGACCATTGGCCACCATTCTTAAATTTGTCACACTAGTGGTAGCCATGGCCCATGTTCATCAAGCAATTCACATTTTTATAAAGGAAACAAATAGTTGTTCCAAAGCTATTAATATCTTATGGTCAACGATTTAGAGATTAAACTCATTTTCTTGAAAAGAAAAATTAATAATTTACTTGAAACCCATATTGAAAATATCGTTAGACAATAGACACTAATGGGTAGTTGAATTAGGCCTAGCGTCTAACTAGCTAATCATACGATTATTCGAGGATTAGTCCCAAACTAGTTCTTAAAGTTTTTGAAAATATTCGTGTTTAGTTTATATTATGAGTCAACCGTTTCCATCACCGCTTCTAAATTTGCTCAAGACTTTTATTGAACCGTCTTGTAGCTTCGCTGGGGCGCCTGACCTATCAGTGAAAGAAACAAGAGTGCAGAACCGAATTACAGAAAAATAATTTGCAATAGGATCAGGGACGTCTCAAACTATATGTATGTTCAGAATATTTATGGAAAGTATATTAATGTGATAAATAAGTTTTAAGAAAAACTAGGTGATCGGTTTACACTGTGTGTAGACTATAAAATATTTAATATGTTTAATTATTATTAGTGGTTGGCCCGCATATATGTACGGATATAATATTTTTGATACACATAGTTAAAATATTAGTATGTTTGTATATATATATATATATATATTTCTTTCGTATTTCATAACTTATTTCTGAAACTGTAATGTATTTTAATTTTTTTTTATTTTTATGAAATTTGTAATAATATATAATCAAAATATAAAAATTATATCTAATAATAATTAAATTTTTATAATATTTTTTGAATATTATTTATAATATGCTTTTATTTTACATTACACAATCTACAATAATTTTTTATGTCTTACATAATATGAATTTGAAATACGTATATAATATATTTTTAAGTATTTTTTATTTCATTGATTGCAAATTAAACTGAAATAGTTTTTACCATTTTTACTTATCCTAAGAGCGGATAGATAGTTGACATGCATGTGTGGGGGTACCAAGCACCTCACTACATTTATAATAGATAAAGATTTTTAAAAGAAATAAATTGTACTATAAAAATTAAAATATAAATTAGACTGTAATCAAGCTTAATAAATACTAACATGCACGAAAAAGTTCATGTGACTTCTACTGATGCACAATTAATATTTATGTCTGTACGCGTATTTGTAAAAAAATCGAAATATGGCTCTTACATGTTAAAAAGTTTTTACGTGACTTTGTAAAACAAAGTGCGAGAGATTTATTTTTATACACTTCTATTTTTAATTCTTATTCATAATTATTTTATCTTATTTTAATTTATTATTTCGTTCGGTTATTTTTTATTTCATTTATGATCTCAAATTTTTGATATACAATAAAAAAATTACGAATATATATATATATATATATATATGAATATGATATAATTTTTTTTATTTAAAATATGATAAGAGATAAGATGAGATGGTAACCTAAGTTATATATATTTTAGAAAACAACAATAAAAATATGATAAAAGTTTTATAAAAATATATGGTCCTATTTATATTATAAAATAATAATTAGTATATATTTTATTCATTTATTAAATATTAGTTTGAAAATAAAATTTATTTTAAATTACGTTTTTAAAAAAATTTCAATAAAATTTAATTATTATTTTTATTATTTTCAACATTTTATTCTTTAAATTATTTTTTATCGTGATTGTATTTTATTTGAAATTATATTATTTAATATTTTGTTTTTTTTAAATTTGTTTAGATGTTATTACTATATTTTGTAAATTAATAACTTTCCAAAATAAAAATATATCATAATTCAAACATTATTAATATATAAAATCTTTACTATTCTATTAGATAATATAGTATTATTTTTTCGATTTCATATAAATATATTATTTTTTTGTTGAATTTTTTTTTAATTATATTTTATGAAATTACGAATATATGTAAAACATTAAAATCATAATAATTATTATTTTTTGTTAATTTAAAATTTATTAATTTTAGTGTTGTAAATATAATCTAGTGTTTTTATGTTTTAATTCCACAAGTTCTTTAATTTTAATTCAACCAATCAAAATATTTCATTTATGTTAGGAAGTTTGACATGTCACATTTACATGTCATCAATTAAAAGCACTAACTTTTGCTGTAGTGTTGTCAAGTCAGCTATTTTTAATAATATTACTTCTCAAATAATATGTAGTAGATTAGTATAATATTGAAAATGTTTCATTTATATATAATTAATTATGCATTAATATAAAAAATGATAAATTAAATATAAAACTTTAAAGATTTCAAAAGAAAAGGAAGATAGAAAATATTAACTAAGATTTTAACATATTTCTTCAGATCAAAAAATATAAATATGATAACTAAATAAATAGGAAAACATGAAAATCTATTTATTTATTTAATTTTTATTTTTGGCTCGCATGCATGTGCATGTATAATTTTTTTAGACATAATTAGTTGTAATATTTAAGTATTGATTAATTTTCTTATACTTTATGTAAACGTTATGTTTATATATATATATACAGTTTTAGTGTTCAACAACAATCACACAAACATTTCCTATCTTTTTGTGACTTTTGAAAATTTTATTTTTTCTAGCGTTTACATTAACAAATAATTGCAAATATAAAAACTATATTAAATAATAATTAAATTTTTATAATATGTTTTGATAGTTATCTATACTATACTTTCTTTTTCTCCTTACACAATATAATTTGACCAATATATATATATATATATATATTAAGATTTTTTTTGCCTTGGCATATTGCGAATTAAACCAAAATGAATATTAGCATATCTACTTATCCTAAGAGCCTCTTAGGACATATAAAGAATTTAAAAAAATATATAAATTGCCTAACAACTAAAATTAAAATTAGAGTGTAATCGAAGTTAACATAATGTATGCACGACAAATTTGCATGGAAGTTTGACCTTTACACAAATAATATTTATATCTACACGCACATTTGTAAGAAAATTGAAGTATGACTTTTAAGTATTAAAAGAAAATAACAAAGTATATGTTTTGTAATACATATTTTTATAACGTATGGCTGTTTTTTTTAAAAAAAATAATAAGTATATTTATGCATTTAGGTATGAGTTAGAAATAAGTAAATTTTAATATTTAGGTGTTAGTAATTTTTTTTGATATTTTCTGCAAACGTTATGTTTTTATACGATGCAGTTATTGGTGTTTAACAATAATCACAAAAACCGTTTCTATCGTTTTGTATTAAATCAAAATTTCTTATTTTTCAGTGTTTTATGATATATGTTTCTCAATAAAAATATAATAAATATTTATTATAAATTTTGAGAAATTATATTTTATAAAAATTTTCGGTAGCTCTCCGCTCATCTCTTCGTCAAAATTTTTAATTATCCGCAATCGCTCGCTTCCACAAATTCTCTGTAACATAATCGTTTAAGCCAATCAGATCTAAACTTATTTGTGTATGATTTAAGGTGTACAATAATATATTTACTATTTGATTATTATATTAAAAATTAAGAATTGATCTGCTCCTAACTTTAATATATTTTTTAATACAAAATATAATGGATCACAACATATACAAAAAATTTGATTCATGAAATAATATTTTAATATGTTGAAAAAAATATATGCATGAAAGAATTAATATGTGTAAGATAATATTTTTAAATATTTGAAATAAAAACATAAAATCGATCAAAACTATTCTTATTTTTTTTTTCTTCTTTGAATCATATTTTTTAACCTTTAATAATATATTTAACATGATTTATATTGACCTTTTGGGGTTGAAACCATACTGAAAATTAACATTGCCATAAATTAACAAAATAATATTTCCATTTATTCATCAGAAGCGGTGTATCTTTTGTTGCCAGAATGCATTTTCCGTGATATCTAACATTGATAAAAAAAAAAATTATGATTTCTTTGTCCCTGAAAATATTATATCTCCTAAGCAACACAGAGAATTTCGAATTCTAATTTGTTTCAACTTTAAAAAAAATGCGAGAGATAGAAATTCAAGTTTTGATACGAATATTAAAAACTTGACCACAGTTTTGCATCACTTAGACAAAATCACGGAACTATTTGTATGTTCTTAAATAGAAATAAGGAATCCCACATCTCAAATGTATTTTTTTATTTTTTTCTATAAAATATAAGTGGACTTCTCTCCAACCTATTTCTATTTTACAGAAAAAAGATTATTATATTTTCCTCTATAATTGAAAAAAACTTAACAACCTTTCTTTTCCTCTAAATTAGAACATTTAAAATAAATGTGAGTTAGAGATGTTTTAAATCAAATATATAACCTGATATTTGTATATAAAACCAAAGTTGTAAAGATTTATTTTTACTTTTACTTCTACTTTTTATTCATATATACAATATTATAATAAAAATAGTTGGCTAAGAGGCTTATAATTTATTTCTCTCTCTGTTTATTTTTATGTTTCATTTATAATTTCTAGTTTTTGCTATATAATACAAATTCATTCACATATGATATAAACTTTTTTTCTTATTTAAAAATGAAATTTAAATAGTTTTAACTTAATCAATCAAAATATTTTGTTTATTTTAGAAAATTTGTTATGTCACATTTATGACATGGCATTGATTTACACTAACTTTTCTTTAGGTGTTGACACATATAATTTTTTTAGTAAACATGCTTCTCAAATAATAGTTAAGGTGTACAATAATATATTTACTATTTGATTGTTATATTA